AAAAAAACAAAAAAAAAAAAAAAAAAAAAAAAAAAAAAAAAAAAAAAAAAAAGGTTATCAGCACTAAGGGCCCAGTCACACAATATCCAGTGCATGCAACATCTTTTCAGATCGCACTGCACTGGAACGGAGGGCATTCCTGTACCTTGTGTTCCAGTGCGGGCGATCGCACTGCAGGCGGGAAGGGGGGGGTGTCTACGGTGCCATTGACATGAATGGCACCAACACGGCCCCTCCCACCCCAGAACGATGCCCGGCTTGATCTATGAGATCCAGTGCGTTCCAGGCCCGAACCACAAGGGAACGCTTTGGATATGGTGTGACTGTGTCTTTAAGGGCTATCTGTGCTACTTTCTGCTCCTGTGGCATCCCACTCTTTTGGATCCCAAGAACAAGCTGTACATAGAGATTCAATGTCTGTCCATGTTACAACTAAACTCCGTCCCTGTCTGCCACTTAGCAAGCTTTCTGTTAGTCAACTATGAAATGCCAGACCCTCTACTACCAAAATCAGTTCTGCTATTCAACAGGTGAATGACAGTAGGCAAAAGTCGAATGATGTATGGCCTAGGACCCTGGGTGTGTAAACATGGACAGAAGGATGAATTTACAGTGCACCTGTACCAGACTCAGGACATTAAACTATTTACAGCTTCTTTACAACCAGACACATTTTAAAGCAAGGCATATTGTAGCCCCTCTATCCGCTTTTAATTTAAAAAGGTATGTGTTTACGTGATTAGCTTTGAATATCCTCAAAAATCACAACAAGACTCCAGTTGACTTAGTCAGTTTCTGACAGCTTAGAAACATCTGCTGTTTGTTTACATTCTAAAGCCAGAAGGCTGCCAAGATCTGTTCTCCAGAAAAAACAAAATAGGATTTCAATTTAGGTGATGTGAAATCTGAAAAAATATTTCTCCACAATGCTTGAAGGATACAGAGATGAAGGAGAGCTCATTTTAAAGTGTCTTTGTGCTTGTTCAGAATAATCTGGCCACAGGTCCACTTTAAGGACAAACATGTATTTTACAGACACCACAAGGTGCCTGCTAAAGTACTTGTATTTCTGTTGAGCCACTCTTACGATTCATTCACCAATACTGGACGGCCTTACTAGGAGCCTGACCTAATTTTTCTCCACTACAGTTAAAGCAATATGGCTTGGTCAGGAAGCTGCCCAGGCCTGTTGACTAGATAGTAAAGAAGCAGCAGCAGATGGATGAGGTTAAAATGCAACTTTCGGCTTGTATTAGTAAGCTCTGTAAAATTGACTGTATAGACTGGTTGTCTTACAGTGTTGGATCTTCCTCTTTTTGTATGAATGCTGATGTGTAGGGGATTACAGAATGGCGATAAAGAAAGGATGAAATACAATACATTTATGGGTTGTTTTTTTTTTAATTTAACACAACTGGATTAACTGTGAATCCATTATCTGTCTATATTTGCTTGACAGTAAATGACCAACAGAACCTAGCACTACCTTCTCTATAATGCAGCAGGCTATACGAGTAATGTATTTGTCAAACTGTCTAGGGTTAAACAAACAAAAAAAAACTGTCCCCGCACTTTCAATTTCCAGCCACCAGTTTCCACTGTAAGTATGAACATGATCAATTGCTGAGATAAAAAGTGAATTATTTCAGGCACTTCACTATGAAAACCAAGTCCCCACAATGCACCTGTGAGCGAATTTATGCAATCATGTGAAAGAAAAAATTACTGTGTAAAAGTTATGTGTTTTTAAGGGTACCGTTATGGCTGTACAAACTGAAATAGAAAAATCTATGAAAAAGGACACTGCCCATATTCGTACGCCCAAACTCATCGGTCCCATCCAAAAAGCCAGGTGTCGGCCAACAGAGGCCCGCCACGGTCGTCACTAGTAATCCAATGTAAAGCCACACTCAACAGCCAGGACCTCGATGTAAAATACTTTATTCACAAGAATATACAACGTTACAAGCAAGATCCATAGGCTCTGTATGATTAAGTCTTTTTGTCGAAACATGTCAGAGCCTGTGGATCTTGTAATATTGTAGAATCCTAGGAATACATTTTTTACATCGAGGTCCTGGCTGTTGAGTGCGACTTTACATACATTGGCTGTACAAACTTGTTTATATAGTACTATCTAAAAAGACAACATTCAGAATGAAAAAAAGTTCTGTAGGACTATGAAATGTCACACTTACTATGGGCTCTGATACTTGAGGCACAATGCTCCATTGAATTCTCCATCCCCTATGTACAAGAAGGCAGACAAAGACAAAACATGAGGAATATGCAACAAATGAATACTGCACTGCATGTATTGAATTACAAAGAACCTGAGTATAATGGGTAACATAAAATTAAATTACGAGTCTAGTAACACTAAACTAAAAAAATAGTTAACATGAACATACAAAATGTAAATACCTTAGATCGAGAGCAGCAAATGCAGATGGTGAAAGGAATACCACTTGTACAGGTTGTTGACCCACTCCTGAGTCTGGACCTCACAACCTCATGTGTTCAAATTAGGCAAAAGGGAGCCTCCATATGCTTTTCAACTGCAGCAACCTTCCTTACTTAATTTATAATTCATTTGCACTACACCTACTGTTTACTGAATAGGTATTAAGAGTGTGCAAATGATCTGCAGGGAATCATGTAGCACTAGCAGACCACTCCACTGGCTTCCACAGTGATGTTACTATTAATAACTCCAAAGGGCAGCTTGCAAAGTACCTGCCATTTTTATTAAAGGCATGCACCACCTGGGGGTACCAACAGTATTGCCATATTACGAAGCGTGCACAGAAATACAGTCTAATTAGTTAACTGGTAATCACTAAAATGGCCTCCATATTTGCCTGGGGCATGAATCAGCAAGCTGGTAAAAGGAACAACTGGGCACAAAATTATACACCTAGCCACTACTTTCTATTTAGTTTAGTGTTAGCTTGAACTTGGTCTTTTTTCAACCCGACTAACTACGTAACTATGTAACTATGTACTGTACTGGAAAAAAAAAACAAAAAAAACTATTATTCTTAAACATTGGAGGGAATTTATGAAAACTGGAGCAGAATCTGGAGCAGTTGCATATGGCAACAAATCAGCATCTCTCTTCAGCTTGCTTGAAAATGAGACAGAGAAGCAGATTGGTTGCAGTGCAAATTTGCTCCAGATTTTGTCTGCTCCAGTTTTAATAAATTCCCCCTACTGTGTTTAACGACAACGCTAAAGGAATCCTTTCTGTGTAACTATATTGAAAAATTTGATTTAATTACTTTTCTACATTAAAAAGTAGATATTTCCATGTAACGAGCAATTAGATAATCTTTTCATTATAAATGTTTATGAATACAACTCTGCAGTATGTCAGTGTGGGCGGTAAGGAGAAAAACGAAGAGATTATTGATGCTATTTCCGGTTCTATTTAAAAGAACAAACTCAATTCACAAAAACCTCTCATAAAATCCTTGACCTTCCCATCCTTTGTGTATTCTGAAATACACCCAGATACACAATCATTTATTCGCATGCACCATAAGTATGTGCCGAACAGCATTATAAATACAGCTATCGCCTAGCAGGGAACAACAGATCAGTAACTAACACCTAGCAGTGCATGGGCATCTGGTTTAGCATGTAACATGTTAGCTCCAAACTGTAATTCAACATGAGGCAGGTGGTGTTTGTTACACATGCTATAAACTGTGATAATCAAAGCATGCCTCTTGGGGTTTTCAAGACCTTAACCTTACAGAGCTTTTACAAAAATGATTTTTGTTTGCTCATAACGTCTACAGCCCTTACACTGCTCCCAGACAGATGCTATCCTTAGTATAAGAACAAAAAAATATGTACTGCATATTCACCTAAAATAAACATGCATTCAGAGTCAGCCCAGAACAATGAATCTGGGTAGAGGACGTCATTCTATCTTCGAAGGACAGGAATTCAAACAGGCAAAATGTATCTTGTAGTAATAATAATTATTCTCTATGAACCCAACACAGTAGATGTTTCTTATGTCCTGTTTTTCACTAATGTAAACCTGTCATGACAGAATCATGGGGTCTATCATTGCTCCTTTTAAAAATGCTGATGTCTGGCTATAATGTTAACCCACTTGCTTCAGTCCTTTAGATCAATGACCTGTAACAGGTATGCAGATGGAGAAAGCAAGAGAAAGTCCTGACATTTATACTTTTTTAAAGTAATTGACTAAAGCATGGCAGCCAGGCAACTAACATTTTTAACAGAAGAGGTCAGTTGTGGCCACCTCCATCTTTCTGTCACAACAGGTTACCTTTTAATTGGACAATAACTGTTGCATGTGCAATCATGTCTTTGTAATTCTAGTTCAAGCAAACATTCATGCTATGCAACGCGACCAGCAGAGTAAAAACAGGGTCAGGAAGTCTGCCAAGAAAATGTGCCAGCTTCCACATTAACATTTGGAAGAATTGTCGTTGAAAAAAATATGCCTCACAATTGTCAATGATGAAGGGCATACGGGCTGGTGTCGGCACATGCTTGCAGTTGTCCATGGTTTTGCTAAACAGTATACC